TGATTTTCCAAATCTGTCGCTGATGAGACTTTTGTTTTTTTTAACTCTCTTTTTCAGGAGTTTTAGCCAAAATAACAACTTGATTGTTGTATTCAAACAAGCCAACACACTAACAACACTTACCAAACAAAACACAACAACAACAACACTGTAACAACATTTACCAAAACAGAGCAACAATCCCTGAATTTCTATACATTTTTTACGCCCACACTTGTCCTTTCCAGCATTAAAATGCCTCTGCCTTTTTGTTTAAAGTGATTTGATAAAACTAGGTTTTTTTTCACTTCACAGAAAAACAGTAAATAAGAAAGAAGTGAAAAATAAATGTAATAATGATAAATAACATTTTTAACATGAATGTTTATTCTTGATTGCTTTTGGCTTTTATTTTTTACCAAATCTTGACTTTAAAAAGCTGTTTAATGTGATTTGAGGTATCTATCTATCTATCTATCTATCTATCCATCCATCCCTCCCTCCCTCCCTCTCTCCATCCATCCATCCATCCATCCATCTATCTATCTATCTATCCATCTATCCATCTATCCATCTATCTAACTATCTCTCTATCTCTCTATGTGTTGTGTTGTTTCTCCTCTGACGACAGGTCTTTCTATCCAGTTCATCATACACAGGCCTCGGGGCCGCAGCCTCCCCCTCCACCCTTCATCCCTCCCTACTCCTCTCTACCTCCCTCTCTCCTCCCCACCACCACCACCCCCTTTCTGTCAAAGCTGATTGTTTCCACGCCAGCAGAGTGCTGCGGGCGAGCACACTGTCACACTACATCAGGCAGAGGCAGGAAGGGGGAGAGGGAGAGCATGATAGGGTGTACATGTGTATCTGCGCTCAGAAAGCTCCACACAGCAGCTAAAGCCGAGGCTTTCGGCGGGGGTCCCCGAACTTTTTCCATGTCAAGGGCATCCACATACAAGGCCGCAGCGCTATACGACTGTGTCAGAATCTGAGAGAGAGAGATAAATAAAAAAAACTGTAAATGTGACAGCAGGAGAAATTAAAGCTTTACAAGGCCACGAATGTGCACAAATAGCAAGGACTGCTTTTATTACCGGGCAGAGGTGAGGTGAATTTAGGCAAAGGGCGTTAAGTTTTGCTATTTATTTTTTTTAATTGGAGAAGTATTTTTAAACTTTCAGCCAGCATGAATGTGTTGTTGGACCCATTGAGTTATGTTAACAAGCTCAACCTGAAAACTGCCACAAATGTTAGTTGTGCCAAAGGGTGTGAAAATCACATTTAAACCACAAAGGATACAATGCTTATCAACCAAGTAAGTTTAAAATGAGCTAGTTTAGATAAGTAACAGTAGAAACTGACACGGGTTGTTTTCCCATGTTATCCCAGTATGCCGTTCTCTCAGTGTGGACATTATAGTTTCGATGAAGAGCTGGAACAATCTGATCCAGAACCTATATGTTACACTGTTAGACAGTGAGGAAGATGAAGGTTTTTCTAACCTTGAAGATACTGTGGGGGATTTTAAAGAGGGTAAAGTGGGTTCATAGAGGGGCAGCAAAACACTAGACTAACTCTCCCCCAAATAATCTTTTTGTTTTTGTAAAAAAATATGAATTAAAAAAAAGAATAAGTAAACATGGGGGAAATTATATAATTCAACATGGATTTGTAATTTCCGACCGGATGATTTAAATGATTTTTCTTTCTTTCTCAAAAATATCTGTCTGTATAGTCTCAGTAAAAATGGTAGAAAAAAAGGCAGGCTGCCCAAAACTTTAAAAAAAGAAGTATTAATCTAAGTATAGTTATCGTTGTGACACCTTTCAAACAAAGCCATATCTACGTTTGACCCCACGTCATTGCATATTGAGTCTACAGGTTGCGACCAGTTTAACAAAACAAAAAATATATTTATTCCCAAGAAAATGAAGCAGAAATTTGAGGAACACCTTTAAAAAAACAATGAATATGAATATGTTTTTTTTTTAATACGTCCTGATCTCAGATCATGAACCGCTGCATTATATCATTCAACATGTAGTGAAAAAGAATCTATTACCTCCCAGTGGGAACCCTCTCCCAGATCCCAGGTGGTCCCCTTGTTAAGTGCACCACTGCTGGATGAGCCACCCGTGCGCGCGCCGCCGCCCCCTGGCGTCAGAACACAGGAACTACAGCAGCTGCTCTGACCCGACAGGGTCTGTGATGGAGTGTCTCCCCCTAGTGGACTCCATTCACTGCTGTTACCCTCACAAAGAAGCCTCTGCGTGTGTCCTCCGGGTCAGAGATGAGTGAATGTGAGCGCGTCTATAAAAACAAACAAAAGAAACAACACACTTTCTCGAGAATGGTTATTACTTTTCTTTTTATGTTTTCAGCAGGAAATGTTCGAGGGATTGTTTAGTTGCAGACAGCGCGTGAAGTGTGAGAACAGCCGTGTCAGGTCACAGGTAAGGTATGGGAGGTCAACTGTGACAGATGAATTCATCTTAAAATACAACTTTTTTAAATTATGTTAAAACACTTTTCTCTAAATAAGAATATTTGAGTTATTTGTAGCCTGATTTATATTTTGATGAAAGCCTGGAGCATGTCAGCTCTGCCGCTTCATCGCTGTATGGTGAACGTGTTAAAGGGGAAGGCAAGAAACTGCTCCTTTGTTTTTCCTGCTCCTTCTCTATCATGGAATACGTTTTTTGTTTATTGTAATATTCTATTTAAATAAGAAAGTATAAATAAGGGATGTTTTTTTTAGTTTGTATCCCTAATTAACTACTGCTGTGCATAATTATTGTGTATTTCAAATGACCAAATAGCCTCAATGTAATTATTCAGTAGATATCTTAGGTTTCTACTTCTTTCTGTTCTTAATTGTTGGTATAAAAAATGTTAACGGAAGACTTATTATTATGCCCTTTTTAGGAGGTCAGATAAATGTCTCTGTAAAGGAAATAGTAATACAATATAAGAATGTCAAAGTTTTAGTTATTTCGGGATAAAAAAAAACCACACACATTTAAATAATTTCCAGACATTAAAACCTAAGAATGTTGTGAAGAAGGTGAAACAGAGAGAAATACAGACCCTCCTCTGGCCCCTCCATGTCGCCATGGGGGTGCCACAAGGTGCAGCTACATCTCTGCTCTCCAGGAAGTTTTCACATTGAAGAAAAAATAACATACCTGTCATTTACCATGTGTCGTTTTCCTCTCGTTTTTTTATTGCTGACTAAAATAAAAAGGTGTGCAGAGAAAGAGAGAGGCGCAGCCATGAGTGCAGTGCGCCCGCAGCAGGAGCTCCGACGGTCACACCCCGTTTGTTCACATCACATGGATATAGAGGGTCGACGTTTCTTTTTTTATAAAGCATCCTTTATACGTTCGTTGTAGCCTAACTTATGGCTATATTATCGATTAATTAATTATAATGCTTTATAGATCAGATATGAGCCATTCATCAGAAAAAAACGTTTACATGTAAAAAAGACATAAACATAAAAAAAGACTTTCTTTAGTTTTTAGCTCTTAAGTTCGTCAGATCATGCTCCGTTTGACCTCTGACCTTTTGGAAGAGTGCTGCTAAAGAACACCCTGACAACAATCCAGTTATTGATGTAACTTTTAAAATCAGCATCTTATTGTAGAGATGCACATCATGACTTGTTATATGCTGTCAGGTTATTAGAAAGTGAGTATTCAGAAAGACGTTATTTAGATTTTATTAAACGGCAAAATAAAAGTTGATCTAATTCATGAAATATATCTCAACAATAAACTATTGGGAAATTATTTATTAACCATTAATGAAACAATTAATAACACTGGGAGGTTTATTACTGATATTAATATTGTCTTTGCTCTAAAATACTCAGACACTTTCTCCTGAGGTGAAACCGATCAGATTCATCGTTAAAGTAGCTTTAAGGCTAATTTATCTTTTCGTGCGCTTTGTTTGGATGAATTCCTCCTAACTACCCTGAAATCACGTCTCGGTGGTTTACAAAACCCTCCATCAAAGGCGTGTTTGTTCCCCCTCAATGTCCTTCTTTCCTTTTTTTTTTTAAAGAGATGGCTGCTTGCGCGTTGCTTACAAGTCCCTACTCCGGTGTAAACATGTTATCCTCGAGCTTCAACGCCCCTCAAACCTCCAACCTTCAGCCAGCGAACACGGGATCAATATGTAAATCGACTCCGACTTTCTCCGCTACGCCTGCGTCCAGGAGAGGCGATAAGCTTCAGAAATAAACCGGAGTTAGTTAGTTAGGAGGCATAGCCGGGGATTATCCCAAACTCGCCCCGGGGTTTGGCTCTCCTGCGCGCAACCGGACCGGCGTCTGTTCACCGCGGCCGGATAGGACCTGCAGGGCCCCGGGGCGCAGACAGGCAGGCTCCCCGGGGTGGGAGAGGGGGGGCACCACGACCCGCTCAGGATGGAGATTATAGGGTGGCAATGCGGCTGGTATCTCTCTGACACACACACACACACACACACACACACACACGCGCATGCACATGGAAGGAGGTGAGATGATCTCGGAGTGCCCGCGGCGGCAGCAGCCAGCCATGCCCATAAAGATTGACGCCCGAGCCTCACACGGCTATCACACTCCCCGCAGAACACGCACGCGCGCGCGCGCGCGCACACACACACACACACACACACACACACACACACACACACACACACACACACTCCCTCGTGTGATGAGCTGATACAAACCAACTTTGTTCGGCTGACAAAGAGGCAATTGTTCGATGAAAGGTCATTTGCCCGGAGGGCTCCAGAACAGCAAGTACAGCTCCAGAAGATAACAACCGGCCTTCTTTAGTCATATCTGCACTGAGGGAGCTTTGATAGACCTGCTCCTTGAAATCAACATGCTGAGCTGTTATGAAATGAAGGCTCTGGGCTCCTAAAGTGCTATACAGCCAACTCATTGGACTTCCCCTCAGATCTAAATCTGACATTCATTAGGTCAGATCTTATGAACGTGCAAACAAACAGACAACACAAACAAATCTGATATATCATATAACTTTATTCTTTAAATTTACCTATCATCTCTCTATATACAGCATGGTCTCAGAGTACAAATCATATCGAACAGTTACATCTACACAATGTTCTTTTTTTGGTCCACTTTTTTCCACGCACAGGTCAAGACAAACAAGAACAGCGTACAGACAGAATAGTTTTCAAAAAAACATATTCTCACATTAAAGTGTTCTGGTTTTGGTGTTGATACATGTATGTATTGATGCTCCGGGTGGGACACCAGCAAAGAAAAACTATTACAATCAGCAACATCAGTGTGAACTTTAAAGACGTCTGTCAAGACGATGGGAGACTGTCTTTTTTTTTTATTTGGGCGAAATGTCTGAAGGATGGAAGCAAACAGAAGAAAAAAACATTGTTTTTAACCACTTCCTGTTTCAGATCCTCCCATGTCTCCCTCTCTCTCTCTCTCTCTCTATGACTGGCCGACGGAAGCGGCAGCGGGGGGTGCAGCGTTGGCCATGGCGGCAGCGGCGCCCATGCGCAGCAGCTCCTTCCTCTGCGTGAGGATGACGTCAAAGCTGGACTGCAGGCGGTTCTGCTGCTCCTGGATGCGGCCCTGCAGGGTGCGGACCCAGCGGATCAGCGCCAGCCGGCGGTACATGGTCAGCTGCACCTGGTGCTTCTCCATCTCCTGGGCCTTGAAGCGCTCGCGGTCTCGCAGCGTCCACACAGCGTCCATCAGCTCGGGCATCTCGCCGTCCGAGTCCGAAGACCGGTCGTCGCCTTCCTCCTCGGCTCCTTCCTCCAGAAGATTTCCCAGGTTGCTCGCTGTCAGCGACTTGATGACAGAGCTTCTGCGTCTCCCGGACGGTTCTTGATTGCCGTTTCTGGTCAGGTCGCACTCCTGATGGTTGGATTTTGGTTCCCCGACCCCGATGCGGTCCCAGCCTCCCATGAGCATCCCTTCGCCTCCACTGTCCATATTGAGGGAGGACATGCTGCCGCCGGACCGGTTGCTGAACTCGGACTCAGAGTCGCTGTCGCCCCATTCGTCTCCATCCTCCAGCAACGCCACATCTTCCTCTTCCTCCCTTGCGCTGCTGCTTTTCCTCCCCTGCATCTCAATTTTCTCCTTCTCCTCAGCATGGTTCATCATCACCCTCTCCTCCTCCTGCATCCTACCTTCCTCCGCTCCGTCGGGGGGCACACGGCCGTAACCATCATCCCCGCACTCGATTTCCGGCAGGGGCTCCAGGCGGCTCCAGGGGGGGTGGCGGGAGCGTGGCGACAGGACCCCCAAGTTGTGGTGATAACCGGAGGACGAGGAGTTCGGAGGGTCGCGACCCAGGGGGCCCAAATTGCGGGGACGTACCGGGTTTCGGTTCTCGTCCCCTCCTCCTCCGGTGCCCTCATCATCTTTGCCCGGCAGGAAGTTGAAGTTGCCGTCTTTGTCACACTTCCTGTTTTGCAGCGAGGACGAGCCATTGCCGGAGCCTCCTTTGCCTCCGTAGGCCGAGTTCAGAGGTTGGTCCCGATGGTGAAGCATCGCTGACCTCGACTGAGTCTCGCTGGAACGACATGGGACAGAACGTTAAAGCACTTAAAGAACCACAGATTCACTTTTTGTTATACAAGTTCTTGCATCTTAGCTTGTTTGGCAGAAGTTTGGCTTGTTTTGTTGTATAAAAAAGGTTGTTTTTTTGTCGAAAATAAAGATTTTGATCAGGTCACTCAGGTATCAAACAATGTCCAATGTTACCCAGACAACCAATGATATCTCAAGTCTTGCTGTTGTTTGTCTCACAAGTGTAATATCCAGACAAAACACAGCTTATGATACTAATGCCGTTGCAGAGTAAACTCTGGAATCTCGGATGACGGCACTTTCGGGAAGCTCAAGACTTCCCAAAACAAGCCAAGCCTTCCGCCGCACAATCAGCCAACGCTAAAGTTGATTTTGTGTACAAGCATGAGTGAAAGCCAGCAGCTGCATAGAAGATACGCAAACATATCATCGGCAGCCCCCCCCCCAAAAAAAGCTATGACGCACGTTTGGAAAATGTAGCCTAATTGCTAAAAAAGCTGCATTAAAAAAAAACGTTTGAACATAAATGGATGAGCCGAAACAACAATAAAACAGAGGACACACACACACACACACACACACACACACACACACACACACAC